CTATTGACAGCCACACACCGGTATGTTCCACTGTCTGTCCTGTACACATTTAGTATTTTCAACTCTTTCCTTTCTGCTGATAAACTGATCTTGGAATTATTGCCGAGAGGATTTCCATTTTTTTCCCACGATATTTCTGGTAATGGATTTCCAGTCGCGTTACAATATAATGTGGTGTTTTTTCCTTCTTTTACCACGTCATCAGAGGGATCGGTAATAATTTCTGGTTGGTCTGAAATGAAATGAACAGACGGATATGAAGTTTAGCCTGGTGCCCTATTGACTCAGTATCTCTGAAAAAATGACATTTCGTTGGTTATTTTGAAAAGAATCCAACTTTCCAATGAAATACGTCCCAGTTTTGAAGGAAGCGGACCTGTGCACTCTGATTAAAAAGACACAGAAAGATAAAGGAAGGTTTGGTGTAAGCTCTGCTATCAGCAAATACCTATATTTCTCATATTACTTGTCCCGCCCCGTTCGCACAATCTCATAGAAAACCATAGTGAAGGCTGACGTGTTTATTCAAGGACGGAAGTGTTGACGAGAGCCGGTCGGAAAAAAGCCGTCCGGCCCTACTGCCCTCACATCGCTTTGTTGTAAATGCTTAAAAGGAAAATAGAAATGAGAAAAAAACTTGTGTTTGTCAAGGAATTGGGAGTTTCTTGTTCGCACTTGAAAAAATAAAGAAAAAGTTACAATTCGTGACTTTATTAGCTTGTGTGCCTGCGTGTGCCCCTCGATCTATCGCACCCTATTTAGGTTAAATTTTTCAACACCTAGTGGTCATACCAGAAATACTTATTGACTGAGTTTGGTCGGGCCAGAAGGGAAAATACTTTGCTCTTGGTCATAAGGCATGGACCTCGCTGTGCTGAGTTCGTCATGATGTCATGTCCACCTTGAGCCAAATATTTTCCCCTCCGGCCCGACCAAACTCAGTCAATAACTACATAGCATAGCACTTCACTTACATTGAACATTTAATATGGCAACTTTCGAGGAAGCGTTTCCAACTTCATTATGGGCGATACACAGGTATTTTCCGCTATCTGTTCTCTTCAAATTTGTTATCATCAGCGACTGGTTGCCTGCTGACAAACTAATCCTGTTGCTGCTTTTCACGAGATGTTCTTCACTGAGCCATGACAGCTCTGGCTCTGGATTTCCAGTAGCATTACAAGTTAATGTCACATTCTTCCCTTCTGTTTTCGTAACATTCTGCGGTTCAGTAACTATCTCAGGTCGATCTGTAATATTCAAAATACCTTCTCGTAACACACTCTAACCAAGGGTTAAAAGTGTCTTAGAAATCTATTTTTCAGTGTGACTTAAAACTATTTGCTTCTGATAAGCTACTCATATCGATGTTTGTCGAGTTAAAAATAAGCACATTGAAAATAGACGTTAATAACGACTTGGGAACCTATGAAAAGTTTATGTTTTTAGTTATCTGTTCAGTCTGATTTTCACTCAGGTAAATTTGATTTTATTACATATGTACTGCTGGTGTAAATAGGTATTAGCATGGGACTGAACTACATGTGGAAATAGACAGTCCAGTAATAATTTCTGGTTGGTCTGAAATGAAATGAACAGACGGATATGAACTTTAGCCTGGTGTCCTATTTACTCAGTATCTCTGAAAAAATGACACTTCGTTGGTTATTTTGAAAAGAATCCAACTTTCCAATGAAATAAGTCCCAGTTTTGAGGGAAGCGGACCTGTGCACCCTGATTAAAAAGAAACAGAGAGAAAATGAAGGTTTGGGCTAAGCTCTGCTGCCAGCAAATAACTATATTTATCATATTACCCGTCCCGTCCCGGTCGCATAATCCCATAGAAAACCATAGTGAAGGCTGACGTGTTTATTTGGGGCCGGGCGTGTTGACGAGAGCCGGTCCGAAAAATGCCGTCCGGCCCTACTGCCCTTACATCGCTTTGTTACTCTTTAAGGAAAACACAAATAAGAAAAAACAACCGCATTTTTAAGGAATTGGGAGGTTCTTGTTCTCACTCGAAAAAATAAAGAAAAAGTTACAATTCGTGACTGTATTGGGTTGTGTGGCCTCGTGTGCCCCTCGATCTATCGCACCTTATTTAGGTGAATTTTTCAACACCTAGTGGTCAAACAATAAATACTTATTGACTGAGTTTGGTCGGGCCGGAAGGGAAAATACTTTGCTTGCAGTCATAAGGCATGGACCTCGCTGTGCTCAGTTCGTGATGATATCATGTCCGCCTTGAGCCAACTATTTTCCTTTCCGCCCCGACCAAACTTAGTCAATAATATGAGAATATTGACCGGCAATAGAGCATTTGGATTGGTTGATTTTAGTTATTGGCCCTCTGACTACCCAAGTTAGGTAATAAGTACATAGCATAGCACTTCACTTACATTGAACATTTAATATGGCAACTTTTAAGGAAGCGTTTCCAACTTCATTATGGGCGACACACAGATATTTTCCGCTATCTGTTCTCTTCAAATTTGTTATCATCAGCGACTGGTTGCCTGCTGACAAACTAATCCTGTTGCTGCTTTTCACGAGATGTTCATCACTGAACCATGATAGCTCTGGCTCTGGATTTCCAGTAGCATTACAAGTTAATGTCACATTCTTCCCTTCTGTTTTCGTAACATTCTGCGGTTCAGTAACTATCTCAGGTCGATCTGTAATATTCAAAACACCTTCTCGTACCTCACTCTAACCAAGGGTTAAAAGTGTCTTAGAAATCTATTTTTCAGTGTGACTTAAAACTGTTTGCCTCCGAGAAGCTACTTATACAGATGTTTGTCGACTTAAAAATAAGCACATTGAAAATAGACATTAATAACGACTTGGGGACCTATCAAAAGTTTATGTTTTTAGTTATCTGTTCAGTCTGATTTTCACTCAGGTAAAGTTGATTTTGTTACATATGTACTGCTGGTGTAAATAGATATTAGCATGGGACTGAACTACATGTGGAAATAGACAGTCTAGTATATCCAGTCGGTAAAGCAATTAGAAAATCTAGACCATTAGAACAGTTTTTCCAGACTTTCCAGCTGACTTTCTTCTGAGGAAGTTTGAACAATTCATGAAATACGTCACTGAGCCCCACTGAAAACCGCCTTGGCGAGTTAGGTTCTCTCATTAAATATTTTATAATTATTATTACAATTATTATTACTATTGCTATTATTATTAGTATTACTATTGTTTTTAATACTTACATTTCACAACTAACGTGGCATTACGCGAGGTGGCATTACCAATTCTATTGACAGCCACACACCGGTATGTTCCACTGTCTGTCCTGTACACATTTAGTATTTTCAACTCTTTCCTTTCTGCTGATAAACTGATCTTGGAATTATTGCCGAGAGGATTTCCATTTCTTTCCCACGATATTTCTGGTAATGGATTTCCAGTCGCGTTACAATATAATGTGGTGTTTTTTCCTTCTTTTACCAGGTCATCAGAGGGATCGGTGATAATTTCCGGTTGATCTGAAACGAAATGAAGAGATTGATAAAATTTTAGTGTAGTGCTTTATCTACTCAGTATTTCTGAACAAATAGTACTTGGTTAGTTATTCTAAAAAGAAATTGGTGAAAAAAATGAAACACAGCGAACATTCGTATAGTAGTGTATAATTGCGTATTCAAAAACTAAGTAGAACAAGACAGGGAAGATGAAACTTGAAGTTATGTTTAAACTGGCATAACTGTTGAAATTCATACAAATCATGACGATTTCAGAGCGACTGCAATCATGCTGAGGTCCATCAAAACTAGGTGATCGTGCCGATCTGCTGTCATCGCAGTAAAGCAAGCCACAGAAATTAAATCGGCCGTCCTTTGGGTAAACTGAACAAAGAAGTGGGGAGAAACGCTCGACTAAGTCCCGTGTTTGTTCGTATACTTTTTTCGTGCTCTGGCAGCTCCTTCCGTGCTCTACAACAGAACAGAGCACAGCCAAAGCTTCTACTTTGTTAAGTGTAGTACTTACTTACATTGAACATTTAATATGGCAATTTTCGAGGAAGCGTTTCCAACTTCATTATAGGCGACGCACAGGTATTTTCCGCTATCTGTTCTTTTCACATTCGCTAGAATCAACGACTGGTTGCCTGCTGAAAAACTAATCCTGTTGGTGCTTTTTATGAGACGTTTATCATTGAACCATGACAGTTCTGGCTCTAGATTTGCAGTAGCATTACAAGTTAATCACATTCTTCCCTTCTGGTTCCGTAACATTCTGCGGTTCAGTAACTATCTCAGGTCGATCTTTAATATTCAAATTTAAAGGAACCTTCTTGAACCCCACTCAAACCAAAGCTTAAACAAGTTTTGAAGATGTTTTGTTTAGCGTGATTTAAAACTGTTTGCTTCTGAGAAGCTACTTAAACCAATGTTTGTCGACTTAAAATTAAGTACATTGAAAATAGACGTTGGTAATGAGTTGGAAACCTATGGAAAGTTTAGATTTGTAGTTCTCTGTTTCTGATTTTTACTCAGGTAGATTTGGTTTAATTAAATATGTTTCCTGGTGTGAATGGTACTGGATTTTTAGTAGCACTACTAGAAAAAGTCAAGTTTCCTCCTTCCCCTTTTGTCTTACTTTTAGGATGAGTAGTAATATCAGGTTTATCTGCAATTTTTAGAACTATCTGGTTAGAAAGGGGTAAATAAATAACATACAAAAAGTCTGCATAGAAATACATAAATGACTCTTCTGTTAAAGTAAAATTGTATGATAAAAGGTGTGCTGCTGCGTTTCTGAGCGGATATCACTCAGGGGCTATGATTATTAGACAAGAGTTATGACAAAAGTTGACCATGGCGAAAACACAGAAGTGTGCTGTGGGCAGAGGGCTGTAATAAGCGGAGGCCTGGAATCAAAATACTATTCAAAATACTTTTCAAAGAAAGTAGAGTGTTCTTAATAGTAGAGTGTAAAGATGAGAACTCACATTGGATATCAACAGAAGAAACGTTTGAGGCATCATTTCCAAGGCTGTTCTTCGCCACACATCGGTAACTCCCCTTGTCGTTTCTGTTTACATTTCGTATAATCAAGCGCTTATTATCGTCTGAAAAATTGATCCTGGAATTATTGTTTATAAGAGAACCATCTTTGGTCCATGATATTTTCGCTGCTGGGTTTGCAGTGGCATTACAAAATAAAGTTAAATTATTTCCCTCATCTTCTGTGACAATCGCTTGGGGATGAGAAACTATCTCAGCTTGATCTGCAATTTAAAAAATACTTTAGTTGGCAAAAAACGTACACAAAAGCATAAATATAACAAAACAAAAAAAAACGTTTTGTGACCACTTGCGGTTTACTTCTTTTTCAGCATACCTTTGCTCCACACTCAGGCTGAGAGACAACTTACTGACTGGTCTGTCCTCATTATTTCGGTGAAAGAAAACATAAGTGCTACTACAAAAGGAAGCTCTTTATGGAGAAAGGCTGCATAACTTAAGAAAGAAACTTGCTTAAACATCCTTAACTTTAGGATGCACTTTGCGACATCGTTTATTAAAAACAACCTAGCAACGAAGTATCAGTGTTTCAAAGTACTAACGTAAATACAAAAACCTGTCACTTCCCATCGAGGCAAATTCTTGTAAAATATGAATAAGACCAGGAATAAGTATATCAGTAAATAGTTCATAAACAGTCGGAGTATTTTCGGGTCGTTATGGGTATTTAACAAGTCAGTACATGTACGTCAAATGAGCTTGTATTCACTAAGGTTTAAGCAATTTTCGGAGTATATCTCAGTAAAATAGACGAAGCTCATACCTGTAAAAGCAAGAATTTTGATTAAGTGGATTTTTTTAACAGGTCTGCAGGACTATGGAATACTCTTCCACCCAACATGAAATGTATAACCTCGCTCCAAACATTCAAATCTAAATTAAACAACCTATACTTTACCAAACTTGACTCATACAGTCCTCCTTAGTATTTTATAATCTTAAATAACTTGCCTTTCTTGTAACTCTTTTTAGCCTTTTTTACTGTATCCTTTTACTTTTTTTTTTATATAATAGGGGTTTGGTGCCAATTGGGACGAAGGTTCTGTTCCTCTCTCCTGCCACTCCATTTTTACTTTTTCTTTCTTGGTACTGTATAATGTAGATTAGTTATTTGTATTTGTTGAACTGTGGCGAATGTATTAAACTAAACTAAACTAATCTAAGAAATAACTCTAGAAAATGAAACATTGGAGTTGAATTACAATTATATCGAAATATTTTGTTTAAGAAAATCAACTGAAACACCGAGTTTCAACAAATTCAACTAAACAAGATCCTTTTTTCGCACTCAAGAGAATTTAATCCGATTACACAGTAAATTTCGAGAGATTTAAACGAATAAAATCGATGCCCGACCGAGGCCAATACCTCGTATATAAAACTTAGACAAGGTTGATCTCCACTTCCACATATGTTAAAAAATCTGTCTTCAAATGACGAAAAATAACTTTTACCTCCTAGGGTAGATAAATGAAAGAGTACCAGTGATAGGATGAAGAACCAATGGAAAAGACGTTCTCTGAAGTTACAAATTCCGGTAAGACCTTCGTCCATGCTTAAGAAGCAGAGTTTGATCAAGAGGAAGAGGAAAGAATTGGCCGCAGGTTATATAATTATTGCTAGAGCTCCAAAGGCAATTACAATAAGGTTCTCTATAACACGCGTTCTGATTGGCTGAAGCAACGTGCTTTATTTATATACATAGAGTAACGGTGTCACGCGTCGACCAATTTGTGCAATGATGGACAATTTCATGGATCTTCCATCAGTTTCTTTTTTTTTTGTATTCGTAATTTTCGAACAGTGAATGGATTGGTAAGGAAATAAATTTGGGCCATTAGGCCATCATTTTTAATTACTGTTAAAAGTTACCCTCGTTTAGATAAAGTCTGCAACCACTTAAACTACTACCGCCTCTATTATCCTATTGCTAGTACCTCTACCTCTTCTGCTAGTACTACTTCTTCTACAACTTCTACTGTCACAACTATTACTACGACTACTGCTACTACTACTATTACTACTACTACGTACTACTACTACTACTACTACTACTACTACTACTACTGCTACTACTACTACTACTACTACTACTACTACTAGCTACTACTACTACTACTACTACTACTACTAGCTGCTGCTGTTACTACTACTACTACTGCTACTACAACTACTACTACTACTGCTACTACTATTACTACTACTAATACTAATACTACTACTACTATTACTACTACTACTACTATTGCTAATACTACTGCTACTACTACTATTACTACTACTACTACTACTACTACTACTACAACTACTACTACTACTACTACTACTACTACTACTACTACTACTACTATTACTACTACTGCTACTACAAAAAGGAGACACTCTTCTAACATGCCTCGCATATTCATGCAAGTCGTTGTGAAGGTCTACATGTACCTACATATTATGGGAACAGAACAATAACAAGATAAACAGGCTAAAAAGCTTCAAGCCAAAATTCAATAATTTTGTCTGGTCAATTTGATCATTTCACCAGTCAAGGTGTAGATTTTTCAGCCAAGCTAACGTGAACGATAAATAATCCACTATTCATTCTAGAAATCGACGGTGGTACAGAGCACGCTAAACCTTAGTCAATTTATTTTTTACTGCAACATCAACGTCAAATAAAACGATTCTTTCAGTGCGTGAAGCGTTGACGTAAGCAGCGTTGTCTGTAATCTTATGGACAATATCAGCTTGGCCGGTCAGATTGCAACACGGCAGCCAAATGTGGAGAGGACTGATAATACTAATACATGGTTATTATTCGTCACTTACAGTGAACAGTAACCGTGGAAGCGTAAGAAGTATCCGTTCCAACTCCGTTTTTCGCTTGACATTTGTATTTGCCACTGTCTATTCTGTTCACATTCATTATTGTCAACTGTTCGTGGCTTGGTGACAAAATGATCCTGGAGCCGTTACTTATTGGATTTCCATATTTGGTCCATGATATGGTCGGGGCTGGATTTCCAGTAGCATTACAATACAAAGTCACGTCATGACCTTCCTCTGTTGTGATGTTGTGAGGATGAGCTGCGATCTCAGGTTTATCTGTAGATAAATACGGTATTTCTGCAAGCTTAATTATAGAAAAAACATAAGCTACATGCCGTATATGTAATAATCATAATTGTTGTGAGCTTGTTGTGAAAGTGTACTTGAAAGTTGTCACCTTGTCTAATTTTTGAATTTACTGTTGATAATTAAGAAAAAACAAGAAAAAACGAATTTGGGAGGACTGGCTGCAAACACAAATGATATTGTATTTTGGGGCAGGAATTGTTCAATTCCTAGTCCAAATTTTGCATAAATTCTTTTAGTAATCTCACATTCCGCAGAACCAAAAACAACATACAGTGTACTGTGTTTAGGGCTTGGAAAGTGATAGTAATTGTTGAGTAGTTTTCAAGGACGACATTGTTGTAGACGAGTTGCTGGAGGGAAATGAGACGCCCTTTTTAGCTCGAACGGTAAAAGTGTATCTAAGGAGTGTTTCAAATTCGTTACTGAAGGGAAAGTCCTAGTTTAAAACGTTATCATATACCTTCAATTATGATCATTGTCGTGTCCTGTGTGCTGCTAAAAATGTTACTGGCGTTACAGGTGTAATTTCCTTCATCCCTTAAGGAAGCTTTAGTGATTGATAACTGTACTTGACTTTCATTAAAGGATGGAATTGTCACTCTAGAACCATTGATCAGCTTCGAAGCATTCCTAACAATCACAGTTCCTTCTTTTATCCACTGCACTTCAGACACTGGCGGCGACGCTTCATACCGACATATCAGCCGGATATTGCCGCCCTTGGCCACATATTGTTTCTGATTGCCATCGATTGACACTGCGGGTTCAACTGGAAAGTAAATAGGGTTGGCGTTAGAGTTAATAATATTTCAAACAGCATTTAAAGTTACTGCTTTGTGATGATGTCCAAATACATTTACCTTTTTGCCGCGACTGTTAAATGACAAACAACGAGGAGTAGATAGCCCATGATTTTTATAACTGAACAAGTATTGGGCAAGGTAGGGAACGAAACAAAATAAGTCCGATATAGTTTTTAATGAAATAAATTTTTGAGAAAAGACCACAGATGCACCACCCATTACAGTGCGGAGAGCGTGCATCCAAAGGTAAATCTATAATTCAGGGTTGGTCCCAAGAATGTAAATCTAGTGATCTAAGAATGTAAACGGATAAATTTTGGAAATATTTCAGTTCTGTATGGTTTCGGCATTGAACGTAAATGGAATCTTTCAGCTTTTAAATAAATCTGAAAACCCCAAACAAACGCTTTGAAAAGGAACTTATCCTGAGACTTAAAAATTTGTATCAGTTGGCGGGAAAACATAACTTTTTTTTCATCTCGACCCTGCTGATTCACCTTTAGACCTTTGAGGTTTCTTTTTTTAACAAAAAAATAACATATTACTTACAATGCACTTCTAGGTTAGCACCATGGGAGGTAGCATTTCCAAGACTGTTTTCTGCAACACATAGGTACACTCCACCATCTCTTTTGCTAACATTATTTATTGTGAACTGCTTTCCTTTGTTAGAAAAATTTATTCTGGAATTGTTACTGGTGTCCAGAGAAAACCCGTTTTTAGTCCATGATATTAGAGGTACTGGATTTCCAGTGGCGTTGCAAAATAAAGATAACTCGTCTCCTTCGGTTCTCTGAATCAATCGTGGAACGGTGCGTATCTCGGGCTTATCTACAGTCATCCATATAAGAAAAGCAAAATAAGCAGCAGATTATTTTAAATTAAAAGAAAGTAGTATTTTCAGGTGCTTTGAAAAAGAGGTGTCTCTATTCTGTCCCTTAGAAGTCTAAGAAGGACCAAAATTTAGAAAGGTGGAGAATGCGATTGTTAGATTGATATTGCCTAGGGTTAGCGGTAGATATTTGCCGAGCCACTTTCAATGACACTGAGGTAAATAGTTATTTTAGTCTATAACATGTCGAAATAACTAATGAGGAATGCGTGACAAAGACAAATATGATTAAAGAAGTTTTCACATGAATTTAGCATTTAGCTTCAAAAGCTTTCCGACATATTTCTCACGACAACTAAACACACCCAACTGGACGTCATCAAAATCTGAAGCAAAATCTAATTTTAAAGCAATATAGCTATGACAAAGCGATTTAGATATTCCCCTTACATTGCACTCCAAGGAAAGCAGGATTGGATGTATCATTCCCAAGGCTGTTGGTGGCCACACATCGGTATTCTCCGCTGTCTACTCTTTTCACATTCTTTATAGTAAGCTGCTTGTTATCCGCTGACAAACTGATACTGGTGTTACCAAGAGGTAATCCTTCCTTATTCCATGATATTTTTGGTACAGGATTTCCCATGGCGTTACAATTTAAGGTGGCATTGTCTCCTTCTTTATGAGTTACATTTTGCGGGTGAACAGTGATCTCTGGTATGTCTGTAACAGGAAAAATCCGTAAGTTAAAGGTGCTATGTGGAGAGCAAACAATGTCATTACCTTCGTACAGCAGATGTGCTGGTATGTTTGCTCCGGTTTATTTTCTGTCTTGTGTGCACCAGCGATGAAAACCTTGTCATTTGTAGTCTACTTTTCTGTAGAAAATACAAATTAATGACTCTTAACACTCATTAGTTCAAATGATTAGCTTTAGCCGCAAATAATTTTCAATCTCCTTAATTTTTATAAGGAAATCTTACAAGTCATTTCATCGTCACCATCTTTGCCTTTGGCCCCCTATTGGAGCATAGGCCGTCTACAAGAGCTGTCCAGCCATTCCGGTCCTGGAATAGTTATTTACCACTTCACCTAAGACATTTTCATTTCTTCTTAAAATCTAAAGATACATCTTGTTAAGGAAACTAGTCAAAAGGCTCATTTTTTGATTGATTATTGACTAGTTCACTAATTTCACAATAATCTTAGACACGTACATAGTTACAATGTTTATCTGTTTTTCTGTATTTCTATTGGTTTTGTAATTGGACCTTTTAGCGTCACCACGCGCATATAAAAGGTAAGTTTAGCGTACCTTCAACCAGTTCTTCCTAAGTTTTAAATAGTCTTGGTAAACTTTCGCCCTTTCGTTTTCTCAACCTCTAGCACAAGCGGGACCGATATGTGAGTACCTTTGTAACTTTGTTTTTTCCAGTCTTGTCTTTTCAGTGTTGGGCGACAATATACAAACAGATATTGCCGTATTCTCTATTGATTTAGGATTTAAAGGCCAAATTCATGCCAAATGCGAGTAAACGCCCATCACTTATGAAAAAGAACAATGGGCTGTTTACTAGCCACCAAATTTCTTTTAATTTGTATCCAAACTTTTGTTCTGTTTTATTTGTATTGTTAATCTCGTTATCGACGTTGGGGCCCAGTTTTTTGCACGCGATTCTTTGATTATGTATCCCGCGACATTTGATTAGATTGATCGAACTTCGTTGCATTGTTGTTTCAGTTTACGATTAATAGATTGATTGATTGTGAGAATAATCGTTATTTTCATCGTTGATTGTGGCTCGTGGTCGATTGCCTTTCAAGAACAAAGATTCCTGCAAATAATAAACTTTGGTATGTCATTTCGATCTGTAAAATAGTCCCCAAACACCTCGTTAACCGCGTTTTGGAGACACGCCCCCTTGAACTTGAGAATTTAGATTTTTGGTCGTAATTGCCCAGGTAAAAAGCAACCAACTAGTCTCTTTTTCGCTTTTTTAGCCGGTTAAGTGTGCTCGGCGTATCCTCTTGCCTGTCATATCTGTCACCAGTCCGTGCTTGCCATGTCCTAGGCCTTACACTGTGGGTTATGCTGAAAATAATATCAAGTTTCCCTCACAAACACCGCACGATGAGCAGGTGGGGCGTAATTTATACAGAGACGTTGGTCTCTATGGTGAATGACGGCTCCCTAAATGGGGGCTCTCCCCAAGCAGGCTGAATGGTGGGTCAAACCAGTCTAAAGCGGACGAATATGCTCAACGTTCAAATTATTACTTACAAATAATAACTTACACAGGACTGAGATCTCCACTGTACTTGAATTTCTATCTCTATCTGGGTTAGTAATTACTTCTAACGCGTAGCTTCCCTTGTCTGCTCTCTTCACTCGAAGGAGAGTAATTGATGTGTAATGGTTTGTTATGTTCACGCATAAACGACCTTTGTACGCGGGTCTTATCCAGGATCTGCTATCGGAAGCTATTTTGTCCGCAAGCTGAAGGTTACCCATTACGAATAACGCCTGACGGAATGACTCCCCTTTGCTAAATGTATACTTCCATTCCAGGGTAATGTTTTCACCTTCCACAGCAAAGAATGTTTTTGGAGGGTTTGCAGTAAACGAAGGCGCACCTTATAATACAAGCAATAAAAATATTTCAACTTTAACACATTTTCATTACGGTAAAAGACAACTTTAGGTATAGATTATAAATATATTACCGTACATCTTTACACTCTCGAGAGATNTATCGCAGAGGTCAGTGGTTCGAATCCCGTACAGGCCTGATTTTTTTCAGGTCTGATTTTCGCTATTGCTTAAATAGCGCTATCTACTGCGAGGATCGTGCATCATACGTATCTAATACCGCAGTTCAAAATATATGAACTTCATATATTTCATTGTATCTGGTTCAAATTATTACTTATAAATAAATACTTACGCAGGTCGACTGAAATCTCCACTACACTTGAAGTTCTATCTTTATCTGGGTTAGTATTTATTTCAAACGTGTAGCTTCCCTTGTCTGCTCTCTTCACTCGAAGGAGAGTAATTGATGTGTAATGGTTTGTTATGTTCACGCATAAACGACCTTTGTACGCGGGTCTTATCCAGGATCTGCTATCGGAAGCTATTTTGTCCGCAAGCTGAAGGTTACCCATTACGAATAACGCCTGACGGAATGACTCCCCTTTGCTAAATGTATACTTCCATTCCAGGGTAATGTTTTCACCTTCCACAGCAAAGAATGTTTTTGGAGGGTTTGCAGTAAACGAAGGCGCACCTTATAATACAAGCAATAAAAATATTTCAACTTTAACACATTTTCATTACGGTAAAAGACAACTTTAGGTATAGATTATAAATATATTACCGTACATCTTTACACTCTCGAGAGATCTAAGAAAAATTCAAAATTAAAAAAAAAAATGGAAAAAAAAGGGAAAAAAATGCATGAATGTTGAATTGTAAATATCCTAACTCCCTTTAACCATTTGTAGTTCTTTACAAAAGTATTTTGATTTCGCTACTGTTCAATTAATCTTATCTGTATCGTAACCGACAAACGTGTTATTTTAAATCACTATATCAATTTATATAAAAAGCTGAACTGTCCACTCATTTGGACTGGTTCAGTCAATAGATCAAAGACGAAGTCATTATGCATCAGTAACACACAGCTGCGCCTCGTCTGCAACTTTTATACTTCCATTCCAGGGTAATATTTTCATCTTGCACAGCATGGAATGTTTTTTGAGGCTTTTTAGTAAACGAAGGTGCACCTAATAATACAAGCTATGAAAATGTTTCGGCTTTAACACGGCATTGCTCTTTAATGGGGTATTTTTCTAATGCAGATAATTTTTGTACAAACCAGAAAAGGAAGAAATAGCATTTTTTTTTTCTGAAAAAAAAAAAAAAACTATTCAGAATGTTTAGCAGTTTATAGGATATTTAATAAGGAATATTCAATGAATCCGATCGAAGAATATAGTTTAGTTTCTGATAGGATGTGTGTGCAGAGAAATTTTATATATGAGTGCTATTCTGATGTTATTCCATAGAGATGAACACTTTTCGTTTTCTTGCACTTTCTCGCATTTCTTTCCGATCATCTATGGAGTTTCGTAGCTCATTGTATAGCTTGTATCAGAAAGCGCCGTCATCATTTGAAGCATCAGTAAACAATTGCTTCAATCCAAGTTATTATCAGGAGGAAACACGGAAGTCTTGATCGACGGGTGTAGCACAACATCTCATATTCGTAAAAGGGTGACACGAACAGGAAAAAAAGCACTGTTTTATCCTGAGGAAATCACTTTCACTTTTGCGCTGAATTTCCAGGTTTTCTATACAACTACATGGACATTCCCTGTTGGGTTATCCATCTTTAACTCAAAGATACTGTTCTCGTAATTGTCACTGCTTTCTTCATCAAGCCTCGCACCACGAAAGCACGATACAAGGTTGGAAATGGCAGGGTGTCTTTCTTTATATTAAGTCGTTGTTGATATGTCCACTGGGACATGTTCATTTCAATTCTGAACTCGTTTGTTGACGACCATATTGAACTTACACATTCTTAAATACGGATACGTATCCAGGCTTCATCTAGCTTTCGTTGTCAGAAATACGCAACAAATTTTGCAGAGAAATAACATCTTCTTAGCTCCTTGGTAATTTCTACCTAATAAGATCATAAATTTAGTTTTGTTTAAACATATGAGCATACAATGGTCTCTAAGCCTTACCTTCGGCAGAAAACATGAAAAGAGTATATAGAAAGATTGCAAGCCAACCTTCTTCCATTACACACGATATCTTTTGTAGTCTTCACATCGATTGAGCTGCTTTTAGTGAATAAATACCGCCTTGTTCAACGCAACGAAGCTATTTGTCGATAGAACGAACCCTGCTTTGCCGACACTATTCTGTAACAGGATGATCCTAGTCAGGTATCAATTACGTGTCTAAAGTAATTATTGACATATGGGTCACGCATTTTTGCCGAGTTCGAAGTTTGGCATTTTAGATTTTCAGTCAAGAGCTCTCATAAACCTTCATTTTGATCACTATGATAAAGGTCTCCTGATGCTATCCACATGCTCAACAAGATGTAAAATGTTACTTCTCTGAATGCATTTCTCCAATGGAAAACCTTGATGATTTCTGCAGAGTAATTACCCAGAGTTTGAAGTGTCAGTTACTTTGTTTATTAACATTATTCCGCGGGAGCTGGAATTCATGGCTCTTTCTTCATACTTTGACGGTCTATGCAGACGTTTCAGATGGTGAACGCTATTCTGCTAACTTGGAACGAAAAAGCGCTAAGGCCTCCCTTATTTCGTCTATTGTTGCTTAAGCAAACGAGAGAAGCGGCATCGGTTCACAGTAATGCCTTGATAAAAATAAAAGTTTTCAGACTTAGCTTAGACTTAGCAGAGCAGACGTAATTTGATCGAGCGAATGCTCAGTATTTTCTCAGCGAAAATGGTCACCATCTGATATTTATGGCAGCGGAAGGCTGGGGAGAGAAAGAAATTTGTACTAAGGGGGTGAGTGACGGTCAAAAATAATCTCGCCCTTCCCTCGCCTACTACACCCACCGGCAACTCTGACTCCAAATCAAACATGGCGTTCGGATAAACGATCACGAGCTTCTGTAATTATCTCGCCTTTATAAGACGCCTACACTGCAGGCTATCGCCTGAGGGGTACTTGCGACAGCGCGGCGGAGAACTTACGAGATCCCACTATACCTTTTTTTAACCCCCCGTATTGATGGTGGAAGATTTAATGATTTCCCCCTCCTTCTTCTCTCCCAGCCACCACAAAAAAGCTAGGGCTAGTGAATGCATGCAAGTGAAATCTTTATTAATAATTGCCTCGTATGAACCTTTTAAAGTGAAAAACTATTGAGCAGCACTACACGAATAGAAGGGGACAAATAATGACCGGTCCTTTATCAACAGGTAGTAATAGCCAGTTTCTTTTGCAGTTGGCCTTTTATGAATCTTCGGTTTAAAACTGGGTACAGCGCTGAGCATGTAATTTTGAATTTCCTTGCCCGTTTTTTTCCCATACGAATAAAATTACCTGTTTTCAGACTTACGGACAGACACCTTTGTTTAATTTCTAAGGTTTAGGGTGGTCCTTTCAGGTTCTTGAAAGCAAGCAAATGGAGCCTCTAGCAAAAGTGTCATCTCTGAAGTGTGCTTTCAATCATAATGAGTCAGTTGGTATTTTCATGTTTTTAGAAGGAGCAACATTCCTGTTTCTAATTTGTGAGCTAGAAAAATTGTCATATTTGAATTTTGCATCAGTCATGATGAGCATGTTATTGCCATGGTTTCGATGGAAGAAAAATGCGGGTTATTTTTCCGCGTCCAATTTGTGTACGTCAGAAGTATTGTATCCTCTCAAACATTTCGATAAGAAAGTTAAACTTGACTCGCATTGCCATATTAGAGTAAATTGGTTGTGGAAAAATAAACGGGGAAGTGATGGCTGTTTTGAAGGGTCTAAGTCTGAGAAGGCAACTTGTCATTTTCATCAGTGCGTCATTGTGAATCAATGCCAGGTCTCGTGCGGTTTTAAACAATATACACCGTAGTTAGCAGTCGGATTAGCGTTCGCCTACAGATAAGTATGTATAAAATATCGAAGATTTGAAGAAAGAGTCTTCGATTCTAGTTCCTGTAGAGTTACGTTGGTAAACAAAGCTATTGGCAGTTCAACTCTGAAAATGCGTATATTTGTCTGAGAAATTACTTATGATGAGGAAATTGTTGACGTTTTCCACAGATCAATGTACTCGGAAACGAAACAGTTTGCATTTTATGCAGAGTTTGAAGCATCAGGAATCTTTCATTTTATTGCTCTAAATAAATGGATTTAAATAGCTCTTATCTGAAAAATCTTTAAAACCCCGAACGACGAACTATACGGAAATGCGTGACCCATTGGTCAATAATTATTTAAGGCACGTAATAGATACCTGACAGAGGTCATCGTGTTAGACACTCTTATCGGCAAAGGGAGGTTCGTTCTAGCGATTAGTCGCTTCATTATGCTGAACAAGGCGGTATTTAATCACTTTAAAACAGCTCAATCGATGTGAAAGACTACAAAATACATCCTTTGTAATGGAGGCAGGTTCACTTTCAATATTCGTGTGTACTCTTTTCGTGTTTTCTGCCGAAGGTAAGGTTTAGAAGTGTCTCATTGTTAGGACACGACAAAGATTATAATTGAAGGTATACAATAAAGTTTTAAGCTAGGCTTTTCCCTTCAGCAACAAATTTGAAACACTCATTAGCTACATTTTTACCATTCGAGCTGAAGACGACGTCTCGTTTCCTCCAATATCTCGTCTACAACAATGTCGTCCTTGAAAACTGCCCAACGATTACTATCAATGAATTTGAATATATGAAATCATATATGTGTACTGCGGTTTCATGAAATGTATGAAAACGATCCTTGCAGTGTAAACCTTACTAATGTAGTAGTGGAAATAAGGCCTGAAAAAAGAGTTAAAAAAAAATTAATTGATTTATCACTTCGAAAGGTGTAATAGAAACTAACATACTGACCAGCTCCCGGTTGCATTTTTAACTCAGTTGGTGTAGTGTTTATTTATAAACTATTTAACAATTATTCCACGAGCGTGCGTTGGATATGAGATGATAGATAGCCAACGAGGCGCGTAGCGCCGAGTTGGCTATAATCATTTCATATCCAACAAGCGCGAGTGGAATAATTGTTTTATTAAAAACGCCCCCAAGAAATTATTATTTAGAAAAAACCTGAATTTTTAGCTCCCTTTTGATTTTAAGCTGAGGTGTACGCTTGTACAGATATTAGATTATGGTATATTGGCTCATATACCATAATGGCTAAGCCAATTAGAAGTCTTGAATTGCATTATCCAATGATCCAGTTTTTAATAATTACTAATATACCTACTCTAGGTCTTATTCAGGTTTATATAGGGGAATTCACTTCGATGGGAAATAATTGGTTTCTGTATTTTGTCTTTGTACGTTAGTGTTTTAAAACATTTATATAAAGTGGCTAGGTTTATTTGTAAACGATACCTCAACATGTACCCAGATACGAACCGTTTCTTGTACAAAGTACAAATGCTGTCGAGTTGAGCAGGTTTTTATCTCACGTTATGCAGCTTTTTTTTTCATATTGAACTTCCTTTTGAAGTAGCAGTTTATGTCTTTTTGCTGAAAGAATGAATTTTTCCTCATGCTACATTTATTGTTTCATGTACTTCCTTTACCAAGTGACTTTTTTTCAAATTGCAGTTCAAGCAGCGATCTTTTCTCATCTTCAAGTGAATGTCACGAAAGGAGAGGGAAGCAATTTAACTTTATTTTGTAATGCCACTGGAAACCCAGGAGCGAAAATATTATGGACCAAAGATGATTCTTCTATAAACAGCAATTCAAGGATTAGTTTTTCAGTAGATAACAAGCTCTTGACCATATCGAATGTAAACAGAACAGACAAGGGGAGTTACCGATGTGTAGCGCGCAACAGCCGTGGAAATGATACTTCAAACGTTTCTACTGTTGATATTCAATGTGAGTTCTCATCTTAATCAACTTTTTACTGTTAAGAACCATCTACTTTCTTTTACCAGGGTATGAATAGTATCTTGATATCAGACCTCAACTGACTCCTCTTTCGCTTTGTTTTCCAATTCACAGTTCTTTGATTCCGCCATAGCCAACTTTTTCATAATTCTCGAGTAACAATAACAATAATGGCTCCTGAATAGTATCCACCTATAAACTCTGCAATACACCTTTCATCATGTGACTTTAGTATAACATAACGAGGATGTACAGCATTTCTATGCAGACTTTTTCTTTATCATTTATCTACCCTTTGCTAACCAGATGTTTTTAAACATTGCAGATAAACCTGATATTACAACTCATCCTAACAATGAGACAAAAAGGGAAGGAGAAAACGTGACTTTTACTTGTAATGCGAATGCAAATCCACTATCGACAATGCTATGGAAGAGAGATGGATCTCCTATAGGCGAAAATTTGCTGAAGATCACTTTCTCAGGCGCTTACCAGTACTTGGCTGTGTAGCCGCGCGATGTGGTTCCAGTCGAGGCCCACAAATTGACCCTTGCTCACCATAGAGTCTCCAGTTACTCAGTGGTTAGAGCATCCGACTAGATCACAGTGGGTCGTGGTTTCAAGTCCCATCTGGGGCTCGGATTTTTCTATTACACTAAAATTGTTTCATCTTTACATGCTCACTTTGGAGGTTGGTTGGCCGCATCTTGATATGCTTTAATGTGACAGCGTGATGCTGTTAGTGAGTTTCACAGGCGCTTATCAACACGAAATAAATCTTTGAGAAAAGACCACAGATGCACTACCTATTTCGGTATCGCGAGCGTGCATCCAAAGTTAAATCCACAAACTATAGTTAGTCCCAAGAATATAAACTTAATGATCCAAGAATGTAAACGGATAAACATTAGAAATAATAACAAGTAACACGTGGAAATGGAAGAATCTTAGACACTTACAAAGAAAATTCACTTTGCAATTTGAGTTGTCACTTCCAACTCTGTTCCAAGCCACACATCGCTATTCACCGCTATCTATTCTGGTTATATTCGTTATCGTTATATCGCTATTAGAAGCGCTAGAAGTCCTGTGAGAAAGTATTCGCTTAACAAGTGATCAGTCTTAAAAGCCATCAGAGACCTTCTCAGGTACTGAGTATCACAACAAGCTACGATGGGTACCAGGCTGGGTGCAGGACTACCCAAGGTATGGACGACTGAGCAGAATTTTCAAGGAAGTACCGACTAGTTCTCTCATTTGTCTCCGTATCGTTGTGTGTTTTGCGTTTTGTGTTTTGTACATTGCGTTTTGCGTTTAATACTCTGCGCTTTGCGCTTTGCGTTTTGTGTTTTGTGTTTTTTTCTTTTTTGACTCGTTATGCCCTCTCCAGCACCTCAGAGAAAAACGTGAAAAAAAAAAAAGAAAAAAAGAACGTGTTGATGACCATATACGTTCGAAATTTAAGAAGAGTGGAGAGGTGGCGGCATAGGGTCCACGTGCCTCTCTCTAAAAAAAGCGATGTCTTCCAGAAATAAAACCAACTTTGAAGGTTGCCTCCTAAAGTCAGTAGGGTATAAATGTGGGTAAGTTACGAATTTACCACTGTTCACCACTCTCATCCCATGTCAAGACTTTTAACTATGTTTAAGACGATTTACCAGAGAACATCTTCCTAAGGCCAGGAGTATGCTTCAAAAGCTCCCACTTTTAATTGGTAGCTGTTATTGACATCCGTTCCAGTCCTTGTGCGGATTCTGATTCCACTGAACTCTGCTGTGTCACCATACGATTCTGCATCTTCTGAAGACCAGTACTGGTCAAACTGCACACTAACTTTTTCTTCTAGCTTTGCAGTCTGGGTTGTTTAATTTTGAATAAGATACAAATTAGACTGAATTAAGAGATGACGGAATCTAATGTAGGAAATAGTTATTGTTAATATGTACAATTATGAGAATTAGTTTCTGTTTCAGTTTTAGTATCTGCATAGATTATGTTATTTAATTTTTTCAGTTCCTTAAAAGCCTTAAGTATCATCTGGTTGACAAACTGAACGAAGAACCTGTTCCATCATAGCAGCTCCGCAAAAATCTTCCTTCCCTGACGAGAAATAAAGTAAACAACTCTGTGTTCGTGATATTAATTTTAGACCATGCCATATAGAGCTGTTTTGAGTAAGATGATGTATCGGAAGAGAGGATGAAGGTGCGCGCAACAATTTTTTGAGGTAATCCGGGTATTCAGTTATCAATGAAAGCTAATTTTCACTTCGGTCCTCTTCTTATAATCCTCGCGGTAATTACATACAGTCACTTAGAAAACCTTGAACAACTAGTTATGGCCTTAATTCATTTTCATACTTCTCAGCTAAGCTATGGAATACACTGCCTGACTACATCCGCATGAGTGCATTTAAAGACTTTAGAAAGATAATCCAAGGCCGTATCTTTGTATAGTCGCTCCCACTCATCTTCACTTTTCTGTTTATTTCTATTGATATATTACATAATTATAATTCTAAATACTGTGTATTTTAGTATATTTTAGTATAGTTAGTATTTTAGATTTTGTACAGATATATCAGGAAAGATTTATTACTCGACGTTTCGGGGTCATCATGACTCCATTATCAAGAGACTAGTTTAAAAACATGCAAATAAGGAAAGGTACAAGAATAGCATAAATTAGACTGAACGGCTTAAACAAACACCTTGGCGCGGATGGAATCCGTTTGCACGTTCAGTGTTGGCTTACGCATGCGAATATACAACATTTCATTAACAAGGCAATCAAATTTGCCGTTACATTTCGTGATGACGTTGAATTGCTCGATCAAGCGTTCAGGCATTTCACTATTGTGCTGGAGGTGGTAGTGTTTGTAGATAGAAGATGATTTCCTTTTGTGCCCTTCTACGCGCTCGTGTAAGTGACCACGAGTATAGCCCACATACCCTGCATCACACAGGTTACATTTAAATTCATAAACGATACATTGTTGGTTAACAATAGGGGGCTTAATTTCGTGTTGCTTAAGCTGTTGATCGAGCTTAGGGCTAACGAACACTGGTTGGACAGTCACGCTTAACTTCGAGCTTAGACTGTTCAGTTGTTGTTTAACATGATTAGCTGACGACTGGTCCTTGAAGGGTAACACTAATCTCACAGTCTCCGATTTGCCTTGTTAATGAAATGTTGTATATTCGCATGCGTAAGCCAACACTGAACGTGCAAACGGATTCCATCCGCGCCAAGGTGTTTGTTTAAGCCGTTCAGTCTAATTTATGCTATTCTTGTACCTTTCCTTATTTGCATGTTTTTAAACTAGTCTCTTGATAATGGAGTCATGATGACCCCGAAACGTCGAGTAATAAATCTTTCCTGGTTTTTTCTATGCCTTTGCTTTAGCAAATCCCTGCTGATCAAGTACAGATATATGTATGAATATAATTATATATATCATCTCCATTTTATGTTTTCTCGAAGATATTAGCTCCAACAAGCCACTCTAGAATTCGAGATGTATTAAAGTTTATGATGATGATCATAATTTATCAAATACGTAGATAAATTCATCAAACCCGCAATTCCGCGTCCTTACAGCGACGTTCTCTCAGATTTCCCTGAAAACCGTGACAACTGCCCACAATACCTTTCGAGGTTGTCAATCAAATTTTAAAGGGGACGAGTCACTGTTTTGCTACTGATAATAATCAGAAGACTATCCAAGGATAATTTTTGAACCACTTACATCCACGTTTAGTTGAAGACGATTTGGACACACCTAGAGGACCTTCACCCTTTGCAGTTGAAACCGAAACTTGGAATGAATACTCTGTAGATTCCTTAAGACAAGGAACAACCCCTTGATATGTATTCCGATCCTTAACTGGTCTCACAACCTTGGTATTAACCTTCCCATCGGAATCAGTGAAGTAAATAGTGTATCTGATCGGAATCCCTTGTATGGATTCTTCTGGTACAGCCAACCATTCAACTTGTATGCTAGTGCTGTTCAGTGTTTGTACAGAGACTAATGTAGGGGCCGCAGAAGGCACTGTAACAAAAACAGGAGAACAAATTATTATCCTCCGCCTCACATCTATTGCGGGTTAAAAATTGACCAACTGGCGAAGCTTTCAGGCTAAGAAGTGAAAAGCTGATTCCTTAATAGGAGAAAAGGGGAACGTTTGATAACAAGGGCATAATACATGGCCAGCAAAACCCGTGCAAGAGATCCTTTTGCACTTACCGTCTTCGTCTGTTCGGACTTTGATGGGTTCACTTGCTGGTCCATTCCCTAGATAGGTAGCAGCTGAAACCTTAATGTCGTAGTATGTGTATCTATCAAGTCCTTTTATTTCAACAAATTTTCCAGATATTGGTGTTACTTCTACTGACTTGTAAGTGCCATTGGTCGTCTTTTTGTGCATGACTGTATATCGGATGATATCACCATGCTGTTTGTCCTTCCGCACCGCAATCCATGTAACTTTAATGCTGGTCGAACCGGTATTGTAACCTTGCAAATTCTCAGGAGGTGCTCCGGGCTCTACGCAAAGACGAAGAAGTATGGTAAACGGTATTCGTATCATATAATGGTTATGATTATAGCCAATCAACGCGTGCAAAGTGATCTATATACTCCAAAAGAGATAAAACAAAATACATGTTTGCCTCTATCAATATGAGTCAAGAAAATAGATATTCTCAGGGTTTCTTAACTGAGAAGCTATTACTTTATGGTATCGGTGTAGGTAAGTCCCGCGTGACAGAAAGATCATTCTACTCGCATGGTATCATTTCCTTATTGAGTGCTAGTTTTCAGCAGCGGATGTTCTTAAGGGAGAGTTTACGAAATTGAATTTTCAATATATGCCTCGCTCGAAAACGAACTACCGAGAACAAGAATCTACGAGGTAGCTGGTTTTGAATGCCTAGCACAACAGCCTCTTCAAAATTTCTTCCATCTTTTACCGTTATTCATATATTTGATAAGGCTGAACACAACCTTGCCCAGGAGCATTCTTGGCCAGATTATCAAAGAAAAAAGTGTTTTCCTGAGCCTTTCCCTCTTACAATGTAATATCACACATATTGACAACTTGCTTTGAAGAACAACTTGCAATTGTTTTTTAATATTTGTGAAAAACTACAACTGGAACGTATACACAAACATCAGCCTTACACGTGGACAAGTGAGTCTATCCAAGAACAGTACTTACCATCCTGGTCTGTTCTAATAACAATATCATTTCTTGAGATACCGATTCTGGGAGAACCTCCAAAATACACGTACAAATTAAAATATCTCAAATGAAAAGGAAATCAAAATAAAAAAAGAGTGCACCTTCTTCATGGGTGGTAACATCTACAACGAAGCTGTAGTTACTAGAGCCAATTATGTTCCTGGCGAAAACCCTGAGGTAATAAGTTGTCCAAGGAAACAGCTCTCTAATAGAAACTCTTGTGGTGTAAATCACACAAGCATTGACTAAGAGTCTTCCTTGACATATAGCATCTCTGAAAATCTGCCCATCTTGACGGATTTCCACTGTGTAGTTCTGGATGGCACTATTCCCATCAAAACCAGCTGTCCAGGAGATATAAATTAACCGTGATCCTCTTGAAATTACTCTCAAATCCTTAGGTGGGTGTGATACATCTGCGGGAAAAACAAAGACAAGACAAAAAGAACAAGAAATTCTCAATGATTGCTTGTTTTGAAACACGCCTTTTAGAATGCTGATGAAGTAAAATAATACGACTTCAAACATAAAACTAGTGCCATTATCAATTTTTTTGGCATTATTTGCTCAGATATTATACAACGGCATACAGCTGATTGACAAAATAAACATATCAAAATATAATACCACATGTCAAGGCAATACAGGGCTTTTGGGTAATATCTGAAAAAATATAAGAATATTACTTGCCTTGTACCATGAGGTTAGTTGCTGATGAGGATGATCTACCCACGCTGTTATTAGCCACACATATGTATAGCCCTGAGTCTGACAGGTGAACCTCTGCAATTTCTAAACAGCAATCATTGTTCTTAGAGGACAATTTCAATCGACTGTTTGCTGTTACATCCAGGTCTTCTCCATTCTTTGTCCAAACAACACTGGGTGTAGGGTTCCCTTCCACTGAACAACTAAAAATCACATTTTCTCCTTTTACAAAAATGTTATTCCTCGTTTGTTTGGAGATTTCAGGTGCAACTGAAAAAAAAAAAAAAAACATAAGCAATAATTAGAAAACTAGATTTGCAAAAAAATCCCGTTCAGGCGGTTATGCGAATTTTGCGGTCACGTTTCTATGCAAAGAAAGTAGGAAGATTTTGCAAATTATTGTTGACCAAAATTATATTAGTACATGCCCCAAATCGTGCAACTTTGGTGAGTTCCGAGATTATGAGAATTATCAAACAGAAGTATATTCCATGTTTTCCTTGACGTGGAATAGAAATGATCATTCATTTACAAGCCAAAAATATCTGTTCATGTGTACATAACTACATAGTAGTGCAATTCCAGAGCTTCTATTACTTTTCTCCCTTATTCTTGTTTTCTCTTTTCTCTGTTATTTAGTGCGTAAAATGTATGGTGATCATCTGCAGCAGTCATGTTTGCTGCTTGACGTAATTCCTCATCTCAACAGATGAGTTAAATCAAAATAGTCGGAACCCTTGAAATCATCTTAGGAATCGCCTTAAAAACTGGTAACCTTATAATGATTTATCTAAAATGGCCAGCTTTAAAGCGACTGTTTAGCCAACTTATAAAGATAAGGACGCAGGGCTCGTACACTTTTTTTGGACTAAAACACTATGGACTTTTTCAAGGACTGCGAGCCCCAGTTAATAATCCAAATTATTTGTTTTCCCATAAACATCTCCCGGTACTTACACTGGACATTGACGAAAGTAGTACCAGACGTATTATTTCCAAGACAGTTAATCGCCACACAACGGTATGCTCCGCTGTCTTCTCCCTTGGCATTGGTAATAGTGAACTGATTTTTGTCTTCTGAAAAGCTGATTCTGGGGTTGTTACCAATGTGAGACCCATATTTTGTCCATGATAGAGTAGGGAGCGGGTTTCCAGTAGCATTACAGTGTAACGTAACGTTTTCTCCTTCTCTTTTTGTCACATTACTAGGATTAGTGGTGATCTCACCTCGATCTACAATTGTAAAACAAACGTCCTCTATTGTGCAACTGGCAACCACATACACTGCAGCAATAAAAATTAGCAAATCAATTGCAAATTCTATTGATCTTTGTATGTTATAAACGCATACACCTCCTTATATTCGGAAAATTTAGGGTTGTTGTTGTTTACAATATAGGATATTAGTAAAGCAATTTGAAAGTCTAGACCAAAATGACAGGTTTTAGAATTTTCAGTTGACTTTCACTGAGGAAGTTAGAACAATTCATGAAATATTTCACTGAACCTGCACGAAATCGCCTTGGCGAGCTGGGCTCCCTCATTAAAAATTATTACTTTTATTACTATCATTATTATTGTTGTCATTATAAGTATTAATACTTACATTCTACAACTAATTTTGCATCACGTGAGGTGGCATCACCAATGCTATTGACAGCTACACACCGGTTTGTTCCACTGTCTGTCCTGTACACATTTATTATCTTCAACTTAATTCTTTCTGCTGAATAACTGATCTTGGAATTATTGCCGATAGGATTTCCATTTTTCCCCCATGATATCGTTGGTAATGGATTTCCAGTCGCGTTACAATACAATGTCATGCTTTTTCTTTGTTTAACCACGATATCCGAGGAATCGGTGATAATTTCCGGTTGATCTGAAACGAAATAAGCAGACGGATAAGAATAAATAATTCCTCTTTGCAATAAAGCCTTGGTAAAACGCCGGCATTGGTTGAAAGAGCGTGCTTTATCAGAGTACAGAGCACGCTGAGCTAAAGCTGTCACGTTATCAGCCAATTTGTAATGTCTAGCTTTTTTTCGTTAGTTGAAAGTGGAATTTCGGAATATGCCAGCCGGAAATGAGCAACAGAAGAACCAACAAGGGCTTGTAAACATGCCGTAATTTGGATTATGATTAGGCACTATGCAGACACTAAAATCCTGAAAGAAAAAAAGAAAGGGAATGAACAGTCCGACTTTCGAATGCTTTCTCCCTCAGTTAGATTGTAAACTTACGTAGAGTAACAAAAATCAAACACAACTAATACTCGTCTAGTAATGTATAGTTGCGTGCTCAAAAACTAAACAGAACAAAACAGGAATGACGAAACTTGAAATTATATCCAAACTGGCATAACTGATAAAATTCGTGCAAATCATGACGATTTCAGATCGACTGCGTTCATGCTGAGGTCTACTTCGAATAGCTGATAAAGGCGATAATCTACAGTCGTCTCAATGAAGCAGGCCTCAGAAATTACATCGGCTGTCCTTCGGGTGAACTGAACTGAAATATTACTTAGAAAGCGGCCAGAGCACTCAAGGAAGGAGGAGAAACACTCCACTACGTCTCGTGCTTCTTCCTACACTTCTCTCGTGCTTTAGCCGCTTCCTGTGTGCTTTACAGCAGAGCAGAGCACAGTCAAGGCCTCTGCATTTGTTAAGTGTAGTGCTCACTTACATTGAACATTTAATATGGTAATATTCGAGGTAGCGTTTCCAATTTCATTCTAGGCGACGCACAGGTATTTTCCGCTATCTGTTCTTTCCACATTCGATATCATCAGCGACCTGTTGCCTGCTGACAAACTAATCCTGTTGCTGCTTTTCACGAGATGTTCATCTTTAAACCATGACAGCTCTGGCTTTGAATTTCCAGTAACATTACAAGTTAATGTCAAATTTTACCCTTCGGGTTTCGTAACAATCTGCTGTTGAGATACTATCTCAGGTGGATCTGTAATATTAAAAACAACTTCTCGTGCCTCACTCATACCAAGGCTTAAACATGCATTAAAGATGTTTCGTTCAGCGTGGTTTAAATTTGTTTGCTACTTAAACCGATGTTTTTCGATTTAAATAAGGCATATTGAAAATAGACGTTAGTAACGACTCGAAAACCTATGAAAAATTTAGAATTCTATTTCTCTGTTCATGATTCTCACTCAGATAGATTTGGTTTAATTAAATATGTTTTGCTGGTGTGAGTGGTACTGGATTTTCAGTAGCACTATAAAATGCAAGTACTAGTCAAGTTTCCTCCATCCCTTTTTTCTTACTTTTAAGATGAGTAGTAATATCAGGTTTATCTGAAATTTTTAAAACTATCTGGTTAGCAAAGGGTAAATAAACAATAAAACAAAAAGTCTGCGTAGAAATACGTAAATGACTGTACAGCCCTGTTATGTTATGTGCTGCTGCGTGTATGAGCGGATGTTATTCAGGGGCCATGAATATTAGACGAGAATTATAACAACAGTCGACCATGGCGAAAACAAAGAAGTGTGTATTGGGTAGAGAGCTATTAATAAGTGGAGGCCTGGTATTAAAGCGCTATTCAAAATACTTTTCAAAGAGCGTTTTTAACGGTAGATTGTAAAGATGAGAACTCACATTAGACATAACAGCAGCAGCTTGATCTGAAATTTCAAAAACGGAAATTCGGTTATACAAACTAAGTTGAAATGTAAATTATCCACCGTAAAGAGTTCAAAAGCTGACGTTTCGAGCGTTAGCCCTTCGTACTAATTTATTAGTGTTTTTGTCGTCACCATGTTCAAACCAATAGCGTAGCTCTACTCTCTGCACATCATGACCCACACGCAACCTACAATTCTAGATCTTCCATTCGTTCTGAAGAAGGGCTAACGCTCAAAACGTCAGCTTTTGAATTCTTTACAGTGGCCAAATTACATTCTAACTCAGGTTATATAACCAAATATCCTTATTTCCCCAACCGACGCAGCACCACAATTTCTTTAGAAACTAACCACTCAATTTCAAAAACGCTACAGTTGGCAGGAGACGTACACCAAAGAACGTTATATGACCACGTGCGGTTTACTCCATTTTCAGCATGTCTTTGCTGATCATTCCGCGGTCTTTCGGTGAAAGAACAGAAGTGCTGCTACAAAAGGAAGCTCTTTATGGAGAAAGGCTGCATAACTAAAGAGAATAACTTGCTCAAACATCCTTAAGTTTAGGATACATGTTGCGATATCGTTTACAAAAAACAACGTAGCCACAAAATATCACTGTTTTAATACAATAACGTTTGATGACAAAGTACAGAAGCCAGTCACTTCCATCGGGGTGAAATCCTCCTTGTAAAACATGAATAAGATCTAGAGTTAATATAAAAGTAAATAGTTTATAAATAATCGGAATGTTTTTGGGTCATAACGATCATTTAAATTTTATTTCATTGTAAATTTCCGAAGATTTAAACGAATAGAATGGACACGCAGCCGGGGCCATTACTTCGTATATTAAATTAAACGAGATTGATTTCCGCTTCCACATCAGTTAAATATTCTGTCTTCGAAAGATAAAAGTTTGACTTACCTCCTGGATCAGATGAACAAAACACCAACAATGATGTTAAGAAGAACCAATGAAAAAGACGTCCTCTGAAAGCAAAAGTTGCAGCAAGACGTTCGTCCATGCTTAGAAAAGATAGCTTGCTCAAAAGGAAGAAGAAAGAATTGACCACAAGTTATGTAATTATTGCTAGAGTTCCAAAGGCAATTACAATAAGGTTTCTATATAACGCGCGTTGTGATTGGCTGAAACAGCATGCTTTATCAGAGTACGGATACACGGAGTACCTGTATTACGCGTCGACCACTCCGCGCAGTGGGAGTGGCTCATCCTTTCCTGGATATACTCCCTCGGTTTTTTTTTGCTTATTCATAAGTGTTTAATAGTGAATTGATTATATCTACAACACGCAGTTCATCTTTTCAACTACCCGTTCCATAGGTTCATCAATTTAGTTCTGGTACAGTTTTGGCGTTGAATGTAACTGGAATCTTTCAGCTGTTAAATAAATCTGAAATCCCCAAACAAAAAAACTACAGTCGTCTATACAAGACAAGCAAAATAAGCAGAAGATTATTTTAAATTGAAAGAAAGTAGTATTTTTAAGTGCTTCGAAGAGGAAGAGGCGTCTCTAACTGTGTACTCTGTCTCTTAGAAGTATAAGAAAGACCAAAATATAGAAAGGTGAAGAATGCGATTCTTAGATTGATATTGCGTAGGGTTAGCGGTAGATATTTGGCGAGCCACTTTCAATGACACTGAGGTGAATAGTTATTTTAGTATGTACTACAAGTCGAAATAACTAATGAAGAATGCATGACAAAGACAAATGCGATCAAAGAAGTTTTCACATGAATTTAGCATTTAGCATCAAAAGCTTTCCGATATATATTTCCCACGACAATTAAACACACCCAATTAGACGTCATCAAAACCTGAAGTAGTATCTAATTTCAAAGCAACATAGTTATGACAAAGCGATTTAAATATTACACTTACATTGCATTCCTAGGTAAGCAGGACTGGAGGTATCCCGGTCCTGGGCTAGTTATTCACCACTTCATTAAAGACATTTTCATTCCTTCTTAAAATCTTAAGATACATTTTTTCGCTGTCTCAGAAAATTGAGACACTGTAACACCTTTGAAATGCAATGAAACAAATGCCGAATAAGAGCATTAGTACCTTACAAAGATTTTGATTTTTTTCCTTTTTTTTGGTGTCTAAGCTTTCTAATATGAACTTTAAAGAAAATGCCGTAATTGTCCAGGTGAAAATCAACTAACTAGTCTCTTTTTCGCTTTTTTAGCCGGTTAAGTGTGCTCGGCGTATCTCCGTTACCATTTATATCCGTCACCAGTCCATGCCTGCCACGTCCTAGAACTTTCACTGTAGATTGTGTTGAAAATAATAACCTTTTCTCCTCACAAACACCGTTCGGTGAGCNTATACCCTACGTAAGGACCATAAAGAGTACAGTGATGAGTACAAGGGCCCCCCCGTTAGACCGGTATGCGGGGCAGTGGTAGGTTACAACTGCAAGCTCTCTCACCTGGTGAGCGTTGTACTTACAGAGGTATGGAAATCGAGAGAGAATAGCGCCATATGCACGAGCACGGAAGACATGATCGCGGAAATGAACAGAGTTAATCAGGACCAGGATAACGACAACTTAATAATTGGCTCCACCGACGTGATTGCTTTATATCCTAGTCTTGATATTGAGTTCACAATCGATAAGGTGTGTGAGGTTTTCTACGAGAGTAACATCAGTATCCGAAGTATCAACAGTCAGGAGTTGGGTCTGTACCTGGCATTAACGACATCACCGGAAGTGCTAGCTAGGATGGAGATTACAAATGTATGTCCAACGAGAAAGACGAATAGAGGGAGACCACCCACGATCACTGCAAGTGGGAGTGAGGAGCAGAAAGAGAAAAGATTTAAATCGTGGAACCCACCAGTCACACAGCCAGATGAACGTGCGAAACGTATTATGTTGAAAGAGGCATTAAGAGTCGTATTGACAGTGATTATGAAAAATCATGTTTTCACATTTGATAACGAGATCAGAAAGCAAATAAGAGGTGGTCCAATTGGCCTTAAATTAACCGGGGTACTGGCCCAGATTTTCATGATTTGGTGGGATGAAAAATTTGCAACAAGGCTGAATGAATTGGCCATCGTTATGAAAATGAACAAACGGTACGTGGATGACATCAACATGGCTGTGCAAGCAACACCAGTTGGGATGAGGTACAAGGATGGAAAAACTCACATGGATGAGAGATCCGTAGCTGAGGATCAAGGAATCAGTGACGATGAGAGGACTATGACATTGATAAAACAGATAGGAAACGACATACACCCGTCAATACAACTCGAAATAGATTACCCCTCTAAACACCAGGACGGAAAGCTACCTATCCTTGACTTGAAGGTGTGGATGGAAACAAAAGGGGAAGAGACAGACAGGCAGGACGAGAAAGCCTCAGCCTCAGTGATCATGTATGAGTTTTATTCCAAGAGCATGGCTTCTAAGACAGTCATACATGCTAGGTCTGCCGTAAGCTGGAGTACAAAGAGAACAGTCCTGACCCAAGAAGTCCTTCGGGTCTTACTTAACTGTAGCAGATTGTTACCATGGGAACGAGTAGTAGAGAATGTTAACGAGATGGTCCTGAGAATGCAATACTCGGGGTACAGCAAGAAATTCAGATATGAGGTTGTAGATTCGGCCCTCAAAGCTTTTAGAGCGAGACAAAGAGCTGAGCGAAAAGGAGAAAGACCGTTACATCGACCCAAGGAGTGGAGAAAGGTGGAACGAGAAAAGGAAAAGAGCGAAAGGAAATCCAACTGGTACAAACGCGGCGGGAATGAATCAGTAATTTTTGTACCAGCTACGCCCAACTCACGGTTACGGAAGGAATACCAGACAGAAATAAAGCAGCAAGGTTTCAATATTAAAGTGGTGGAGAAAGCCGGAATCGCCATTAAACGACTACTCCAAAAGTCCGACCCATTTAAACCGCGACAGTGTGGACGAGAAGACTGCCCAGTGTGTAGCACAGGTGGAAAAGGACCGTGTGATAGAGAAAGTGTGACGTATGAGATTAAGTGTATCCAGTGTAACAGCGTATACGTAGGGGAAACAGCCAGGAGCGCGTATACCAGAGGGAAAGAGCATACGAAATCACTTAACAATAAGGAAGAACGATCTGCATTGTGGAAACACTGTAAAGAGAAACACAATAGAGAGGTAAAGCAGTTCCGAATGGATGTGACGGGGGTTTATCACAATGACGCGATGCTGAGACAAATAACTGAAGGAGTGAGGATAAATAATGTGAACGAAGACTCGCTTATGAACTCCAAGAACGAATGGAACTTTTTTCAAATCCCACGAGCTGTGATTGATACATCATGACCGCTTACATGAAGCCTGGAAGAAGTGTGGACATTTCAGAGTCACTTATATGAACAATTATTTATGAGTATTTTAAACATGGCGGAGTACTACTGATGAGGATCGTAATTGATCGAAATCGATTTGGAATTCCGCTACATTTTTACAAGTGACTTTTTATATACCATTTTACACGTTTTTACAGTTTTTACAATTCTTGTATTCGTTTTATAGTAGTTTTTAGTGCGTCGAACGTGACTACGAGACGTTATGTCTAGCAAACTGACTCAATTATCGAACACGTTCCTGGCCTCGGCCCACAAAATTTCATCACGACAGAAGAAGACAAAATGAGATAAGAGCATCGTTAACACGCTCGGCTGCGCCTCATCTGCAACTTTACTTGTTCTTACCACATTTGTTCTTACCACATTTGTTCTTACCACATTTTGTCGTCTATTAGATATATTAGACAGATGGCAACACGGAATTGTCTCTTTAATGGGGTATTTTTTATAATGCAGAGAATTTTTCTGCAGACAAGAAAAGGAAGAATTGGCTCTTTTTTCTTTTTTTTTTCTAAAAATAATTAGTATATACTAAAACAGTGGATGGCGTTGAAGGCGCGCTCTGATTGGCTAGTCAAGTTCCGAATATCCTTAGCTATTTACCTCCGAGCAACTCGGGAAAAAATGGCGTCTCGGTTTGCATCCGTGACTAGCGAATAAATCACTCAAATTAACGACGAAGCAGTCCCTGAAAACACAAAGAAAGCGACTAAATTTGGTTTGGCCGTGTTTAAAGGTAATGGTTTAAGTTTTTAACCCAGAGTTTATCGATAAAAACCAGTGAGAAAGCTTTTTTTACAAATGCAAATTAATCTTGCGTAACCTCAGTTGTTCACTTCCGTGCGTGAAAATGTTGGAACCGTTGCTGGAATGTATGAACTAAAATCAATTTTTGGTGGTGTATATTATCTCACTGTTTTAGTATATACTAAAACAACTATCCAGCATACTTAGCAGTTTTTAGAATGATTGATACGGAGGATGAATCCGATCGAAGAATAAAGTTGAGTTTCTGCCAAGACCAGGCGCGTAACATGGTCATTTTTTTCAAGTACGCACAAGTACATATGATCTAGAAACCTAAGTAAACTGAGCGAAAAATACTGCGTTCTTTATTTCTTGTTCGAAATAGTTGTGTGAATACAGGCAAAGAACAAAGTTAGAACGCGGTATAGCTTTTGTTTCAGTTTTTAGAATTTAAACAAAGTGGTGTTTTCATCACGAAATCTTGGTTGCGTACAGGTAAAATGTTAAAAATAGAAGCAATTGCTAAAAAATTCAAAATTTTCTGGTCACTTCAAGTACGCAAGTGCGTATATGGGCATAGGACGCTACGCGCGTGAAGACGTGTTAGAAGAGAAATTTTATATACGAGTGCTATTCTGATATTATTCCATAGAGATGAACACTTTTCGTTTACTGGCACTTTCTCGCATTTATTTCATCTCACTTTTGGAGTAATGTAGCTCTTGCATCTAGAAGGGAACCAACCATTTTGAAAATATGATTTGTAATCTCCCCTCGTCACACATGCCATTAAAAACATAATTGACTCAACAACAAATTGCACGATACAAGGTTAGAAACGGCAGGGTGACTTTCTTTCTATAAAGTCGTTGTTGATATGTCCATTGAGACATGTTCATTTCA